ACTCGCTAGCGAGAATAAGCAGAAAAACTCGCTAGCAGCAACTGAGGCTGGAATAAAAAAATTGAACAGTGTATATATATATTTCGATCGCTAAAAAGTTAATCTGGACAAAGAAAAAAATTTCAACCCCCCTTAAAAAAATCTCGATCCCTTTTGGCAGTAACGGCTTGCCATAGCGTTCTTGTGGTTTTGGGAACTTTGGAAATTTGGAACGAGTGAAAATTTAAATTTGAGCAAAAAAAGCGTTCCCTTTTTTTGCTAGGTCCCATTTTTCTCGCAGGCACGTAGTTGAAACAGGAATCCCAAAACCCCGATTCTTTCTCAAACACATTACAAGAACTCTGCTCTGCAGGCTAGTAAAAGTCTAATATAATTTGTCCAGCCGTCATTAGTATCGGTCCCAGATCCTCTCGGATCCGTCGGTGGGGAGGGATTGGGTGGATCTGCGAACGACACTGACGACTACGAAGTTGACCAGGGATACGAGCCCAGTAGGGTCGCCAATGGATTTTGTTTTTGACTTTTCGGATTTTTTCGGTTTTCAAAAGTTTAAAAACAAAAACATAAAGTGTAAAAACAAAATCCGAAAAGTGATTTTCATTTTTTTGGATTTCGCTTTCAACTTTTCGGTTTTTGTTTTTCGATTTTAAAAAGTGTAAAACTGGGCCAAAGTGGAAAATGGAAAAACAAAGCCCGAAGAGTGAAAAGCAAAATCCGAAAAGTGAAAAAACAAAATAATAAGTCGAGCAACGAGTTAAAGAATTGTTAATTATGACATTGGTTAATCTTTTTTGTCTGCGAAGACGGTTTGCTCACTTTGCAAAGAATTTTGCTCCAGGAAGTCCCTAAAATACAAAATGAGAGGTTGGTTGCGAATATTAGTCATCTAAAAAGCTAAAGCCGTTGGTGTTTACCGCCTCATCCAGACTGTTTTCTTGTCAAAGGCATCAGAGTTGTCAGTGGTTCATTTTCTGGTAGATTACCATTGACACCCACCTTAAAATGCGAGGCAACAGTTTAGAATCACAGATCCAGTTATGCCCATGTTTGCCATTAAACTCGATCAGATGCACGGGTTTTGCATTCGAAGGACGACTTTGTCGTGCTTGTACATACAACTGGAATGTAACAAACAAACAAACATCATTGATGATCATTAACGGCGTGAACAATCAACAGATAGAAAAGTGATTATTTTTCAGTGGTTTTTAAAGCTGTTTGACTCCCTATGTTGACAAATCTACCAAAAGGTTAGTAAATCTTTTCCAAGACCAGTTAAAATGCCTTAAATGGCGTTTGAACATAGAAATATGTATGCAATTCAGAAAACTTCGATAGGCCAGAGGTACTAGACAAACAAATGATAAAGATGTATTTCTTGATGGTTTTGATACCTAGTTTTCAGACGTTGTTTAAGCCATGCACAACCATGTTTTCTACTAGTGTTCTATCAAAACCGCCAGTAATATCATCGAACTAAGAAAATACTTATTGCTAGAAAACTATTCACCTAAATCCAAAATGGCACTTGGCCGGTTGAAAACGAGGCATCCAGGGCCAAATTTACAAATTTACAGCATTTTCTTATTGTAAGTCCGTATGCAAATTAATCGAAACGTCGTCATGCTATTGTAAAAAACGTAAATTTGATTGTGTTTATAAATATTTTTTGGTCTCATAAATTATTGGTCTCATAAAAGTATACTCGCGGAATTTTTATTTACTGGGAGAAAACGAATATTTATTTTCTCACTAAAACTATTCCAAATTCTTGGAAAATGTGCTAAGTCACGCATGCGCAAACGTTTTTCTAAGTGTAAGACTGTCACCAGTCACAAGAAATCTATTCTATTGTCTATTGCCTTACAACTGTAATACCTTTTTTCCGAACTTGAAGGGGATGATTTCATCGTCTTGATCATGTAACATAAGAATTGGGCAATAAATGTGTGATATCCTAAAACGAAAAATTACAGTTTGCGTATCACTCCCAGTGCAAAGGCGGCAACGTAAACAGTAGAGCGTATTGCATGAATGTGTTCTAGCGCAGCCTATTTCAATTTTCTAAACAAAATTTTTTGAAGGGTATTGAAACGTTTTTCGTTTGTTTATTTATCTCTCTGCATGACTACCTGTTTATAATTGATCTTCTCAATTTTCGCCTTTGTTCTTTCGGTTGTTGGTTTCCAAATATGAAAAATAAGATGCTCTAAGAGCGTAAACTGGGCTGCCTGTATCATGCGCAGGCAAAGTGTTACATCGGCAAACATACGACCATGACGGGATGTTTTACAGAAAAGGATCTTTCGTGTGGTGATGTTTCCGCAGATAAACAGTGTTGCGTTATGCATGTCACACTACTCCACAGTCTGAAAGAATTGACAAATTTCTTTAGAAATATTTAGTTTGTTTTTAATCTGGGTCTGTTACGGATAACTTAATTCTCATGTTATGGGATCACTTTATGCTCTTTTTATGGGATACATTTATGCTTAGATTATGGGATATGTCATGAATAAAAACGTGCTTGACAACATGGCGTCTTGTTCATGACTGATTTTATAACATAGTGCTTAGAAGCGGGGTTTAAAGCGTTCCCAGGCGACTAAAATAAGAAAAAAGTTGACAGAATTCAAGCTAACATACCAAGCAACAAAAACAAGAGTCATAGAAGGAAGTTACACAGACTAGGCTGTAAAACGTAAACAAATCTACATTGAAGTAGAGAGAATAAGAGAAAAATATCAAATGCCCTTGGCAGGATTCGAACCCACGTCTTCGGTATTCTAGTCCGAAGTGTTAACCACTACACTACAAGGACCAACCACGCTGGTAACGCAGCCAGAATATGAAATGTAGGGTATTCGTGAGGATCCCAGAGCGATATTTTTTCTCTATAGATAAGTTGAACACCGTAAATATGTACGCAAAGAATAGACATAGTATAGTAGTAATAAATTATGCGTTCGGTGTGTATATAATGAAGTAGAGAGAATAAGAGAAAAATATCAATATTCTGGCTGCGTTACCAGCGTGGTTGGTCCTTGTAGTGTAGTGGTTAACACTTCGGACTAGAATACCGAAGACGTGGGTTCGAATCCTGCCAAGGGCATTTGATATTTTTCTCTTATTCTCTCTACTTCATTATATACACACCGAACGCATAATTTATTACTACAAATCTACATTGATTCATCGAAGACTGGTCGGCAAACGTTTACCGAGAGTAAAACCACAAAATGGCAAGATCATTATACCAATACCAGGGGCGGATCCAGGAATTTTAGAAGGGGGTGACCATTACAAAGGTTTTTCCATAAATTCAAGGAAAAGGGGGGTGGGTTACTGCTACTAACGATATACTGAGAAATTTGTGCATGATCCTGCAGTTTTATCATCAAACTGGGACTTTTTCAAAGACAGTTGGCTAAACTATGCGACAGCAAGTCGAGGACCACGAAGTTATCGCGGCGACCTTACTGACAGTAATAGGCAAAGAATGCTTCAAAGAACAAGAATCATACAAAAAATTACCAGTAAGAAAGATAAAATCCCAAAACAATACTGCGCAATCTCACCGAAAAGTTTGAAGGTAAAAAGAACATAACGTATGAAAGATACGCCTTTAACTCGTGCATACGAAAAACAAGAGGAAGGATTTGATCGTTATCTAACTCAGTTCAAAGAACTTATAGCAACATGTAAGTATGGAACACTAGAGAACGAAATGCTTAGAGACGGAATTGTTATAGTAGTCTCCCTGGAAAGAGTCGAGTCGTACGAGTGATGCCTAATATCCCGACTCTAGTCAGACAGGGTGCATCAGCAAATCAACGAGATACACGAGAAAGATCTTACCCTAGATACAGTCATCAACATGTCGTATCAATGAAATGGCCGCCCAACACAAACAGAAAATCGACCAAAAAACACAAATACCGCAGAGGAGAACACAAAAACGCACTCTCTACGATCAATGTATACAAATCCACCGGATTACACAACATTCATTACTGGTTACTAAAGAATAACTTTCCCTGAGTCAGCCGATATGCCAGATCTTTAACAACTCTGTCCAGGAAGAATCTATCCGATCCGGCCTAATGGAAATGTGCAGACGTCATAACACTCCCCAAAACTAAATGTGCCAAGTCCGTAAAAGATGACCTGCGTCCAATATCTTTGACAACTGTTGCAAATTATATTTGTTCCTGGCTTCTATTGTTATTATTATAAAAGTCTTCACAGGATGAGGTTATGACTACAGAAATACTCACTTGACTTAGAGTACAAACTAGGACCCAAGATGCTTACACTCTCCAACCTCAAACTTGGTACTGATTAAATCCAAAAACAGGGCAAAAGAGCAACTACTTTTCAAAGGTCAGTTAAGATTTCTCCCGGGGGGTTACTCTTGCCCGTTTAGCGTAGGGATGTGACGTTGAGCCCTCTGAACCCTGACCCTGTTCCAGAGTAAAATAGCTGAAATTCATACCCTGTTCCAGAGCAAGATCGCTGAAAATCACACCCTGTTCCGGTAGTGCGAAAATGGATACCCTATTCCAAAGAGGAGAGAGCGTGATTTCATATATCCTGTCCCAGAGCGAGCGCGATTCTATATACCCTGTAGAATCGCTGAAAACCATACCTTGTTTGGCGGCACGCACCCGTATAGCGAATATAGGGCAGTAACCCCCCCGGGAGATTTCTTTAATTGATTTCACATTTTGACGGTCTTACTGAGGTTTTTAAGTATCGCCATACATTTTCTTATAACATGACACCACAGAAACCTAGCTTGGGCTACATGTGGTTCCAGTCGAACGCTTTCAAACATAACGAAAGAGAGCTATTGGTCAGACTATACACGAAATCCCTTTACAATATGCCCGCAACGGTCTAATGCCCAACTTTGGAATTTTCTGACAGAAGAAAAAGTGCGGAGAAACGGGACGTATTTTTAGACTGGGCTTTCGCAAGCAACCCAGTAAAAGCTGCGAAAATCTAGAGGAGATTTTTTCTGTGGGGTTTCCCTGCCCATAAGGCAAAGGTTATAAAATAATTAAAAAGAAATAAATGTTAATTAGAACGTAACTTTTGAATGAAAAAGTAAATGGTCCTCCGTTTTTCTTTATTGTTTTGACGTTTTATGGTGCACCGCGATCAGTGCTATCTACTTTTTAGTAACGAAATCTAAGTAGAGAGTAATGTAAAGCCTCATTGCAGTCCATTTGTACTCACCTTTTGTCCGTTCTGAAAAGTTGCTTTACCTCATCCATCACAATCTCCTCAAAAAAGGGTAAAAATCTGAATGGCTGTTTAAAATAAAGGAGGGAAATGAAAAAGCAGAGCAGTATTGCATTGTGCAACATTACTTTTCAACTTAATTCGACAAAAAGATCAAAGTCATATGCGTCCCGCTTTCCCCCTCCCTTTTCGTTTCCTTACTTCTTTGTTTTCGTTTCACTAGTTTATTTATTTAAAAATATCACAATTCAAAGCTTTCTCCGTCAAATTCTTAAAGTGAACCAAAAGGTACGACTTGTATCTGGTTACCTTTGCGATGGCGTGTTCTTTTCCCGCATCATAAACGTTATTGAAGGGCGCCTCAAGAATGATTCCAGATGGCGGGGAACCTGGGGGAAACAATTTAACAATTAAAGTGTATTTCGTTTACCTCGTTTAAATTTAGTTTGAGTTAATTTGAATTCCATTTAATTTGGATTCCACAGACTAGCTCTTCTTCCACTGGAATTTAGAAGTTGATTTTTACGGAAGAAGGAAAACCGGAGAACCCGGAGAAAAATCCTCGAAGCACAACAACAACAATTTATTACTTTAGTCATAAATATTTACAATTATTTACAATTAATTATACAAAAAAAATAAGTAACTGTTACTCAAAATAATGAAGGGCTAATCTAGTTGAGCAACAAAGCAAAGGAGAAAACCAACAAGCGAACCCGGGTCGCATTGGTGTAAGGCTAGCTCTCACCGTTACGCCACCCCTGCTTCAAATTCCCTTTGATCATCAACGAATTATAATAATTTTTTTACCTTTATCACATAGCACTTTTGCTACGCCAGCCGCCACACTGCGAAGAAAAAAGTATTCAAAAAGTAGACGTTTGAACGGTTCCATTAAAATCCTATTAGCTAAAATAGAATTAGAGACGCGAATCCTCGGGAAAAATAATGAAGTTATGGCTCGTTAATGATCCTTAATTGTGCTAGAAGCAAGTTGGGCGGAGAGTCGAATAATGCATAATTGAATTTCGACCGGAAAAAAACATGAAATTAACATGAATGAATGAATGAATGAATGAATGAACACTTTTATTTATCAATATCTATCAATATAGCTATCAATAGGAGCCCTAATAAATATAAGATAATAAATAATTTAGGTTAAAAGCTAAAATATGAAGCTATAGTAATAAAATCCAAAGTAYGTTAATAAGATCTAAAATATGATACTAAAATATAATACTAAGGCCGAGGTTAGACGTCGACCCCACATGCCCCGAATCCAACGCAAACGAGCAAACGCTAACAATTTCATTTGCATTGGGCAAACATAACAATAGAGATCCCACAATCCTTTGCATTGTATAAATCAAAGCCAATCCTGTCTTTACACAGAGAGAATAAGGGAAAAATATCAAATGTCTTTACACACATTCATTCCAACAACATCAAGAATGTGTATAAGACATGGTGTCGTACGCGATGCCTGTGCCAGTGTACGTGGATATACCGCTGTTCACTCTCGTGGACAGTAGACGTTAGTACTCCATATTTCAAATATATTCATGTGCATTGTAGGCACTGAGAATTTAGTATAGTCTCAAGTTCATACATAATTCGAAACCAAAGCCCCTCATACCTTGCGTTTCTGTTATATACAGTCAATTCAAAAAATGTTGTCGTCGACCAACTCAAGCCTACGCGACTGGACCGAAAGGAACTCTGGGTAGCAATCATTGAAGCCGAGTTGACTCCATAATTTTATCTGACTAGTTATGCCTGGTTTAAAGCACGAACCTTCGTAGGCGTGCGGAAATGTTGAAGGAGACTTTTTTCAGTGCCTTCATATTTTCGGGATTGTGAACTGAATCAYAACTACTTTGTTTTTYTYYCCTTAAACCCAAGAAGACATGCATTTAATGGATTTTTTACTCGCCATTATTATCTTTGCTACTAGCGGGAACAATTAATTCAGAACGAATATTTAACCGCTTCAGTGATTTTTACCCATATTCCTTTCGGTCCAGTAGCGTAGGCTCGGAACCGGTCGACGACAACGTTTTTTGAATTGACTGTATGACAAATTACTTACGCGGATCCTAATGAATGCCCCCAAATGAAAACAGGTGCGTCTGCGGACCTCGATTTAACCCAATCCCAAGTAGCAAGACCATCCTCAATAAGACCTTAGTATGAATGCATGCAAGAATAAATAGGAGGTAATGCATACCATTTGACGGGGGAAAAACAACCCGTTACCTTGTTCTGATGGATGACCATCTGAATCAGCAAAACCTGCAGTTCAAAGCAAACATACATGGATTTTAATAAGTGCTATTTTATTGACTTAGAAGTCGATTCATCTATCATTATTTCACGTCATATTCGACACCTAGTTGGTTCTTGTTGTGGTCTTTATTTATTTATTTTATTTTTCTTCCTTTTTCATTTCCTTTCATCCATTCCTTCCTTCCTTCCTTTCTTTACCTTTTATCATTTAACGCCACAAGTCCGACCCTGGCGTAGTGATGGCAATCATTCGATTATACTGCTGTACGTACCTCTATAATCTATCGTTACAACATGATACGACAGCGATGATAAAACCTGCTCAGGTAGAACAAAAGTTGAATTTGAAATTAAGGCTGTGTTTACACGGTACCAGACGAATTTTTAACCGGTCAGAAATTTGACATGCACATTTAACCGTCTCTTTAACTGTATAAAAAATACCGGATCCAAATTTTTGTTCGGATAGCTTAGTCCCATGTGAACCGAACCCTTAATCGTACAGTAGTAATAAATTATGCGTTCGGTGCATATATAATGAAGTAGAGAGAATAAGAGAAAAATATCAAATGCCCTTGGCAGGATTCGAACCCACGTCTTCGGTATTCTGGGTCCGATGTATTAACCACTACACTACAAGGACCAACCACGCTGGTAACGCAGCCAGAATATGAAATGTAGGGTAATCGTGAGGATCCCAGAGCGATATTTTTTCTCTATAGATAAGTTGAACACCGTAAATATGTACGCAAAGAATAGACATAGTATAGTAGTAATAAATTATGCGTTCGGTGTACATATAATGAAGTAGAGAGAATAAGAGAAAAATATCAAATCGTACAGTTTTTTGACTGGTTAAAAATTTGTCCGGTACCGTGTAAACGCAGCCCGATGAATTTGAAAATATGGCTACTAAACAAGCACTACAGTTTTATTACTAAGACCTTAATAAGACCTCCATTGCCAAGGAGGGATTGACAACTTACTTATCCATTACAGACCAAGGGAAAAATACAGAAAGATTGGAGAAAAGTAAAAACAATACCAACCTTATACAATGCTAATCGATGCTCATTTGCTCTGCAATACAGAAAAAAAGAAAAGAAATGAAAAGAATTTCAAGGATTACGCAAGACAAAAACTTTGAAAAACACAACAAGATCATGCATCGCAAAAAAAGAGGTCAGTTTTCATAACAAATAAAAGTAAGAGATGTTCTTGGTTTTGCATGTAATGATGACACAGTAATAACACACACAACAATGAAAAATTACTATTTCATTAGAATTTTTAGTTCTCCCTATTTACTGTAGTTTTCCTATAAAAAACTAACACTCTCTAGTTTCAGACAATGTCCATACCTGTTCTAAGGAAGGAGGGGTGGCAGTGGTTGGAAATGGGAAGGGGGAGGGAGCGAGGGGGAGAGGGGTGGAGGGGAGAGGGGTGGAGGGGAGAGGGGTGGAGGGGAGAGGGGTGGAGGGGAGAGTGATGGAGGGTCGACGTCAGGCTCTAGGCACACATTGTCTTATAATTTTTTGAAACCGTCTTATTCTATGATTAAAACTCTACTGAAACTGGATAACAGACCACACACTACTATAAATTGTGTAGCTACAAGTATAGCAAGAAAGAAAGGCCATTCAATTATTGTTATTATTGCCATTTTACCTAGAGAATGCATTTCCATGAAAATAAATGAATACTGGGTTTCCATCTGTAAGGTGAAATGGCTGGTCAAATGGTATTTCATCATTTTTTGCTTTTACATACCTGAAAAATGTTATTAATAACTCACATTCACTCTATGATTGTTTATTGGTTTTCCTTTAAATGAAAAAACACTGTAGTTTCTGAAATCATTCACACCCCTTCTACAGAAGAGAGGTGGAAAGAAGGAGGGGTGGAAGGAAAGAAGGGGATTGGAGAGTTGAAAGTCAGGCACACTGGAAGTTCTATGTCATAAGGCTGCGTTCATAATGTATGGCAGAGGGGGGGGGGGGGGGGTTGAAATTTTTTCAGAGAATTGGCAGGGATGCAAAACTTTTTTTGCGGGACTTCAAGGGGGAATCTTAAGAATTTAGCTATTGTTTTTTTTGTATATCTTCATTATATTTGACAACACCTCAAGTCTCTATACAATACTTTATACCCTCTTAAGTTTATAATTATAGACATTTTTTATCTCAAACTGAATCACAGACCACACAATTCCTTTGAATTATGTAGCTTTCTTAAAAAGTTAAAGATATTGCCATTCTACTGCACCCCCATTTTCTTTCCAATCTAAAGAGGAACAAAGGGCCCCCAGAAACAAGAAACTGGACTAAACTCACCAAGCTCCTAGCTTCCCAGCAGGTCCATTAATGTAAAAATTTGTTGAATTTTCAATTCCATGTTTATATGGTTTGGAATAATCAGTAAAGGGATCTTTAACTGGATAAGAGGAAAAAATACAAATATAAAAATACATAAAAAATACATACATATAACATACATAAATTCAAAAAACACACATTCTTATATACTGGTAATTTTTTGATTAATAAATTTATCTGTGATAAAGATAAATAGAAAATACAAAAAATTGAAAATGTTTCCAAACTCCAAACTTAAACAACACCTACAAGATTAAGTCCACCACTATGCATTGAAGTAAACACAATAGAAATTAGAACTGTTTGCATCACACTGTTTGCTCGATCACAGCTCAAGTACACCAATCATGCACTTGAACTCTGATAACAATTAACAATTAATGGATGATGTTAGCATGACAACATAAACTATCAAGGACTGAGACTATTTTGTGCTAGGGCCACAGACTATTTAAATACAGATAAAATAGCTGAGGTCTTAATAATTTAAGTTACCGTGGGTTTCAAAATTTTGGGAACTTTGACATTTATAAGGCTTGTTATTGTGAAATTGGTTTTTCACAGACACAAGTCAGGAATAAAAAGGTACTGACTGATCATTTTTGATTCATGGCAGTGAAAATTCACATTTCAGTGTGCAGCTCACAATTACTGAGTTGGCAGAATATTGAAAACTGTAGTAAATATCATGCCAATAGTAAAATCAATATTATTTTTAAATATGCTATTTATAAATTTAGAATGATTTTTTTTGCAACAAACAGAAGTAAACTGTATTTCAATCTTTGTTGCTTCTAGTTGAGTGACTAATTGGTATGATATCTCAGCCAATAAGGTATAAACGAGTAAGTTGAATTTACCATAGTTTAAATAAATAACTTGTTTTCTTGCCCATGATGAATTGTACATGACAACCACTAACAGAAGATAAACAGACAAAGGGATAACTATTGACAGTTTTATCAAGCTTTTAAGGAAAGTCCTGTTGGAATAAAAAAAGAATACAGATTCAAGATGTTACTCATCTAATTGACCCACAACCGTTTAACTGTCTCAAAGGTATACTTTAACCACCCTTTGTTTACTTGACGTAGTACTCAATTGGATTAAACACCTTGAAAATCCTGGACAATACCTTAGGGTTTACTTTCCAATTTTCTCAAAAGCATTTGATGGCATAGATCATAACATTGGTGCCCGACACCAGCCAGCTACACTAGAGAGACCTTTATCAATATCAGCATTTTTACACTTAGGGAGAATGACAGCCTTCTAGTATAAATAACTACCATCATCTGAAAGAATACATCTCGAAATATCTTGTCGAGGATTTGACATGCCCAAGCTAAAAGTGTTATGTGTCACAGGAAGTTCAAGCAGGGGATTTCTCTGGGCTTTCTGTTTATTCTCCTTCCACAAAATTGACAGTTAAGTAGACTCAATTCAGTTGGATCAAGAAGAAGGAGGGAGAGCTAGCAGTAAAATTTGAATAATTTCCTTTCAATAATATAAAGGATTTTAAACTAGGTCTAAATGTTATACTAATACATGATGATCAATATACTATGAATACATCCAAATATTAGTAAGATTACTTACCCTAAATTTATAGATTTTTGCTGTGCCATGGATTTCTCTCCTCTATGAAGCAAATGCCAGGGATTTAAAATTGTTAAAGTTCAAATTCGAATTCTTATTATGGCAGCTAGTTTGGATAATAAATATGGATAGTGCTAGTGTTAATGTGAATACTACAGTACATAGCCAATTATGCAAATAAGACAATGATCAAGGTCCTTTAAAACATATGAATATCAGTCGCTGTGACTACGGATGACATGAAAAAATTGTAAAAATTAAGTTACTCACTTTTTACTCTTATCTTTGGCCGCCATTTTTGATACACATTATCACCACAGGTAGCCCAAACTAAATTTTGTAAATAGATAGACATAGAGCGCTGCCAAAACTATCGCGTGCTCACATTTGGGGCGGATCCAGGGTATTCCCTTCCTTTCAGGACTTTGGTTATGCTTCTTGAATTTGAATAGGAAGCATATCTTTTAATATTTTTGTCCAGTCAAGCCCCGCCTTTTATTGTTGGTGGGACCAGGAGGGCGTGGATGCTCATCATATCTTTTAGCGGGAAAATCGAAAATCTGTTATCTTTTAGGGTGTCTAAACGATTTTTGGGTCATTTCAATCCAAGCTGGTATCTTTTAGGGTATTCTTTTAAGATAATAAGATATCACATAACAATAGCACAATGACGACTTTAATTGGTCTCGACATCCATCAGGCCAGCAAGACATACAAGCTAGGTTGGCAAAGATGATGAAACAATTATACAAAACTTTGTACGCTCGTTTCTCATACTCATTAATAATGCATGAGTAAACCAGCCAATCAATGGGCTATTTTTGGGTCACATGATGTTACTTAAAACCTGGTAAAGTTCTGTGAAAGGACTGAATTCAGTCTGTAGTAACTGGAACAACTACTACTACTACAAGTCGAATAATTAATGAGCATGAGAAGTCATTTCAAAGCCTCCAATATTGGACTGGACAGGATTTCAAGTCCACGCAATTAGTTCCAATTAGTTGCAACTAATTGCTTGGACTTGAAAACCCATCCAGTCCTCATTGTCGGCTTTGCAATATTACATATTATATTATACTAGTGACTTGTTACTGTTCTCGAAATTAATAGACCTCAGATTTATGACAATTAATAAATGCTTTCATAAACTTTTTAAGCAGGAAATGTTTGAAGTACGTCTTTGGATCTATTAAAAATGCAAAAAAACCTATAAATATGTTTAATCTCAGCTGGTATCTTTAAGGGGTAAAAATCTTATGCTGCCACGCCCACCTTTGTAAGACTCGGTAATCTTTTAGTAGTCATTTTGGAAATTTCCAATGAGCATCCCCTGCTCGTTGCCTCCCAGAGTCCCCCCCCCCCCCCCCAGGGTTTGACGGCTTTATGGAAAACACTCTAATGGCTTAGTGGTTACTTCAAGTTGGGTTGGTGTTAACAGTTAGTTCAGCTGCACGCAGGCTAGTGTGTTGAATATGAGTATTTAGCAGCATGTCGATTCAGCCCGTCCCTGATTACATGAAAAATGCACAACCAGACTAAGAATGTCTTTTTAATTCTTTTAAAATACGCATATATACTAACGCTTATTTTAATGGCTCATTTTAATATTTGATAAAGTATTTAATTCTTCAGTGTTTCTCATGATATGGATGAGGGAATGAAGGTCTTCTAAAATAATCTTTGAGTTGTATGCAACATCCTGAAAGAAGAAACGATACATTTAATAAATGAATCAGGGGCATCATTTCGTATGGGGGTATTATAAATGAGGATTGCAGGCAAACCTAAAAAGTGGTCTTAAGATTGGAAAATATAAGAGAAAAGGGAAAAAGTGGGTATGGGGGCATTAATCAGGGCCTCTCATCTCCATTCCCATCTTCACAGTTCTCTAATAAATGGTAACTAAGTTGTAAAGAGTGTGGGAATACCACTATGGTTTTGGATGGGATTCCTTTTTTTTATGAATCCTCAGTCCCAACTAACAGTCCATCAATAATAGTGTGTGCTAATGTAAAAGTGATAATGTAAACAACCTCATGATTCAATATAATACAAAAATCTGTATGGAGACATCCATTGAACTCAGAAAGAATTCTGATTTGCAGATGGGATTTGAACCCACAACCTTCAATACTCTCTGCCTCAATATAGAATTTTATATTGAATATATCAGCCACTTAATGTTTATATTTATCTTAATATGCATCTTGTTAGGCACCTTTGAAGACATTATTTTGAATTTGCACGGTATAAATAACAATAACAATAATAATAATAATAACAATAACAACAGCCACAGGAACAGAAATAGCAACAATAACAACAACAACCACAGCTACAGCTACAATGATAATGATAATGATAGTGATAATGATGGTAATAATTAAGAAGAAGAAGAAGCATATGGTATGGAGTAATCAGGATGAACCTGCATTCAAGTGGTTAAACAGAATCATGATGGCGGAGAAAGCTTCAGCAGTGATAGAAATACAAGAACAGATGGTAGAAACAAGGGCAAGGATCCATGAAACTAGCTGGCAAATTTAATCAGTAAAGTGATGCTTATGTGGATGTCATTAAGAAACTGGGCAGCATTGGCTGGCCAGCTGCAAGATCTTAGCAAGCAGAGAATATCTTCAGCATCATGACAATGCACTACAAAGAGGTATGGGAGAAGGGAACAGTCATTGAAACCCAACAAAGACAGCCTAGATGAGATTGAATGGCAGACAACAGCACCTCAATGCCTAGACTTGGTACAGCAGTAGGAGTTAGAAAAAAGGTTCAAGCCAATTCAATTTACTTAAGATGGGAGAAATGTGATTATATTTAAGAGAGTATGTGATTAGACGGGGGGGGGTTACAGTCAAACAAGCTCAAGCGTTGACCCCTAGAGTCGATTAATGAAATCATTAGTATTTCCATGCCTCAATTACTTGGAAGATATCAGTATTTTGTAGGGAACGTTCCCGCCTTGAGCGAATGGAGACACAGTTCCATGTCGTCGATAATGTTGGAGTATTTTCTGGACTCCCCAACTAGAAATTTTCAGTTGTCGCGAAATTGCTTTATTGGGCAATCCGCTATCGCTGTAGTCTTCCTCGCATCCATTTTTAGTGTCGTTCGTCACGCAACGCGACGACCGACACTAAAAATAGATGCGAGGGAGACTACTATTGCTGAGATGAACAATTTCCTGTCGAACAATATCAGGTAAAGGCCTTCCCGGCACATAAACACGGCCAAGCCTATTTCTGGCCGCCATGTTTTCTTGATCTTCCTGTGTTAGCACTGATTAACCAATCAAAATGTCGAATATTGAAATTAAAGTTGATTGGAATTTTCATATCTTCATTTTCGACATTGTAAATTTCAACTGAATAATGAAATCAAAATTTGAAAATTCAAATCATTAATTGACTCTAGGGGTCAACGTGTGAGCTTGTTTGACTGTAACAACAACAACAACAACAACTGCAGTATATCTTACTTGGACAGCTGTTTGAGCTCTTGAACGATGAAATGTTGAGCTATCTAGTTTAAGAGTAGCTGATTTGTACATCTGCGTAACCCCCTCAACAATACCACTTCTTAACTGGAGATTCTTTTCTCCTGTGAACAACAAAATAAGCATCATTCAAAAGGATGTGACATGATTTGCCCAATGTTCTTTTTTTATCTTAGAACAATAAAAGAACAATACAATCACATGATAAGGGGTTTAACTTTGGAAGGGCTTATTTTTGGAGATTTACATTAGTTTGATTAATGGGTTATGTTATCTAGTCTAGCAAACTTGTATCTTGTATCTTAGAGAGAATAATGTTTTATTATTATCACCATTTGAAAGTCAGAAAACAAAACATGTCACAAATAATTCCATGTATCCTACATTATTCTGGTTTCACTTCTCACTGAAAGAAAAACAACAACAATTTGATGAAGAGATATTAAAATACTATTAAATAAGTACTTCTAGTACATACTTAGCTTTCTGTGGAAAGGCCTGGTACATTTGGATCAGGTGAAAGCAGCAGCAAAAGAAAAAACATCAATTTTAATACCTTGAAAGTTACTCAATTTTATGTTATATATTATCAAAACTAATAATATAATTATATTGTATATTATTTCATAGTTAAAACTGATTCAAAGCAACAATCTGATGTTTCTAGGAATTTGAGAGCATGAGAGAGTAAATAGGTATTATAGATATATAATATACAAAGATTATCATAGGTTAAGAGCTTGATATCATTTTTATTCACCAGTTTCTATATGATACCACAAACAAGCCAGTCCACAAGCGAGCAATATCATATGGCAAACAAATGAATAAAGGGGATATTAGGCTCTTAACATGAAATAATATTGCTTTATTACACATTTATGTCAATAAAATGTCAAAATTTACAGTTTCCAGTTAACCGTGAAGTGATATTGTATCACTTCATTGATATAATTTTTATTCACAGCTTTATCACACTTATATCTACCCTAAAAGTGTAATAAAATCATATATCACTCATTCGTATGAGGACAAGGAAGAATGTCTCGCACACTCATGCCTCATACTTGTACTCCTTGTCATATCTAAAGTTATGTGAGTTGAGTGTAGTGTGTTTTAAATAATGAAAGTAGTGGTAGTGCATTTATAGCAAATCTCACAGAAGAGGCCCTTACAGGGAGTGGTATTTGAAAATTATATGTTTTTTTTACCTATGCAAATATCAGTAGTGTATTAGTAAATACCACGAAGACGTCAAAGGAGGCATTTCAGTTTTTCTCCCATCACATGGAAATCGAAACACTGATTACTATGAGAAACTTTTTTTGCTAGAACCTTTCTTTAATTCCTAAGTAAGACAATGATGTTTTATAGCCCCAGAAGAGTTTTGTATATTTAATGCCACCTTTGACGTCACATCATTAACATATGGGAAGTATAATATCTCAAAGATGCCATTTAAGAATATTTTAGAGTGCAAAACATTAATCCGTGAAACACTAATTACTAAATAGTACAAAATAGTGCTAATTAAACAATAGAAAACAATGGAATTTGCATGAAATTGTGCTATTTAGAATTACTAAAGTTTCACGGTTATATTATATTGTTTGCACTACTCTACCCATTCAACTATTTACTTCATTTAGAATCAATGCTGAAAATTTTGAGTAAGGTATCATAGGTCACTTTCAAGTTTTTTGTACTCACGAATCATATTTATAAACCAGTTTATGTCTCTTTGCTTTTTCGACCTTTTTTGATTGAATTGAAGAGCTGTTTGGTTGTTCAGTGTCATCTGTAGTGGCGCTGAATGTTTCTGAATCCAGTCCCTCTAGCTGTTCGGTACTGTCTGTCATTGGTTTACTGTAAGGACTTTTGATCTCCTCAACTTCTTCTTCTTCGTCAGTTTCCGATGCTTCGCCAGAAACCATCGTACTGCTTATCATGGTGTTCTTCATGAATGATGAAGATTGAGCTTCATCATCATCAGACTCTGCTCCCTCTCCAGCAATCACATTAGAAGTCATCTTGTTCGACTATGAAAAACACATTCTTCATTTGAAAATCGTTTGCTCGATAAAGTGAACTTTTAGAAGTACTATTTATCGATTGATAACACTTTATCGACTTATTTTTACAATTAACCATACCATAAACATACCTTTATATCCTTGTACTTTTACCCCGGTGGCACGTGGTTTCGTCTTGCATCTTCTGTTTTACATATTCCACAGGTAGTCCAAGTCTAGAATTTACCAATCTCGAGCGCAGTTTTTTGGTAAGCGGGCTGAGTACGGGCTTCACTCGTTCACCTCGTAATCGTAATCCTTGTATTAGTTTTCAAAACAGATACTGTTTAGTCGGTTTGCGGGGCAAAACTTTACCGAGCGCTTCTCAATTTAATACACGCGCGAAATCGTGAAAAAAAAATTCGAGACAAAACAGAGTTTTGGTGGACGCCAATCAAAGCGTTTACCAACATTGTAGGAAAACACAAAGCTTTTAAGGGCACGTGCCTATGGAATGTCATGGAAACGCATTGATTGACGTCCACTAAAACCTACTGGACTGGACTGGACTGGACTGGACTGGACTGGAAATCGGTAAAACATGGACTCAAAATAATAAGCTTAAATAACCGGGCATCAAAAAATGTTGAATTTCTCTCGGTCGTGAACAATCAAACTACGAACCACAATTTAGAGCTGTTATATATGAAGCGACCATTACTGAATAAACAAAGGTAAATCAAGCGCAGCTGTCATTTATTGACATATAAAACAGATCCACTGTTGATTCAGCCCTTAATTGGTAGCCCTGATACTCGGCCGGTCTACCTCTCCACTACAAACAAATAAAAATAATTAAGTTCTATTTAGCTACAAATATTTTTGCCCGTTTCATGACCTTTAAGTTACCCTCCCTTATAGGGAGGAGAAATCTAGATGATTTCCAGGAGGAATGGAACGTCTGGTTTGCCGCGTGGGATGACCCCGCCGGGGGGATGACTTAACAGACAAAGAAGAGGAAATAGGTCGTGGCTCTTTCGGCTTTGTGTGAAGCACCAACCGCGATGATTTGAATATTTACATACTGCCAACATTTTTACCACGTGTGAACTGTCTATCTTCTTCAGAATTCTTGTTTCTTTCAGGAATATTCGCCGGACGAGTTCTTCGTCGCTCATCAGCTTCTTAATAACAATCTACTCATCGAGTAGTTTTGACCTTGCCACAAACAAAAGGCCGAAAGAGCCACGACCTATTTCCGGGTTGCAGTTCGTATTTTTCACGGGATGAACAAAATGTGCCCGGGGGGGGGGGGGGGGGGGGGGGGGGCCCGCCGGGGGGGGGAGAGGGGGTACTCCCCTATATTTGCTACACTGTACGGGTATGTGCCGCCCTATAGGGTATGGTTTTTCGGCTTTTGGGTCTGGGTTAGGGTATCATTTTTTGACATTTCGTCTGGGATAGGGTATCATTTTAGTCTGGGATAGGGTTATGATTTGGTCATTTTTGTCTGGCGAATAGGCTACGCTTTCTGCCTTCAAAAAAAAAAAACCAATAAAAAAGTTAGTAAATATTGATTGCAATCTGTTGAAAAACCGTCTTTTGCGTCTTTTAG